AAATCTTGAAAAAGGTTCAGGTACCTAAAATAATGAAAAATGAAGAGATCTCGATAAGTTATGTCTTGTTGGAATCGATATCAAATAACCGTCGACAGTATCTTTGATATGAGGTAGCGCTCAATGATATAAATTGTGACGAGGATCTTGAATTCAAATTTGTCATATAGTGTGGACAGATAAATGGTTGGACAAGTAAAATGCACAATTCAAGTATATTTTGTTTCACTTAGAAAAGTGACATTTTGAACTGGTAGTCCATAAATCAAGGTATAATGTCAGTGGGGTACAAATAAATTATTATGCGATAGTATAACCGTAAGATATAAAATACGGTTTGTGCCTTGGGGCATAAAAGTTTATTGCAAAAATCCTGACATTATTGGAGATGTTTTCTCCTTTGGTGGATGCAATGAGGTTTGTTTTGATCTAGCAACATATGAAAAACTTGAATGCATGTAATGAATAATTGTAATGTCTAGCTAGACAATGAAGGTTATATAAAAATTCTTGAAATAATTGAGGTGTTTGAAGCATATAAGAGTTTGAATGAAACTTTTTCAATAAAGTTTCAAGAATCCTTATATGGATTGAAATAGTCAAGGAAGAAAATGGGTGCAAAGAATGACGCTAATTGTCCTTGTATTTTTATGAAAAAAGTCTTGGTAAGACAAAATTTTGTCTTGACCTACAGATTGATAATTTGACAAATGAAATATTTGTCTAACAATGCACATACACTGAAATTTTGATGCAATTTTATATGGATAAATCGCATTCAATGATTATGAGATCACTTGACATAAATGATGATTCAGTTTGATCTCAAAAGAAGGATGAAGAGTTTCTTGGTGATGAAACTCTATGTTGGTGCAATCAGCGCATTAGTGCATCTTACTGACAATATTTGACCAGATATTTATTTTGCAGTAAATTTACTGGCAAGATTCAGTTTCTCCCTGATAAAAGGACATTGAAATGGTCTGGAGCACATGATTGAATATCCTCGAAGGACCATAGTTATGGGTTTATTCTATTCCGAGGAATCCAAGACAAAATTGATTGATTACGCAGATGTAGAATATTTATCTGATCCGTATAAAGCTATCTCAAGCACGCTATGTGTTTGCATGTGGAGACACAATAATATCCTGACGATCAATGAAGCAAATGTTGTTATGCAGAAATAAAAGTCCTCCATGAAGCAAGTCGAAAGTGCATCTGGTTGAGATAAATGACACATCATATTCAAGAAATGTGTGGTCTTTCTTTGAAAAAGAATATACCAACCACAATGTAAGAAGATTGGAGACATCATCACAAGAAATTAAGTGATGTTTTAATCAGGGGAGTATAATACGCGTTGCACTCTTTTTCCCTTGACCGAGATTTTTTCCTACTGGGTTTTCCTGGCAAGGTTTTTAATGAGGCAACAAATAGTGCGTATCAAAAGATATGTGTACTCTTTTTCCTTCACTAGAATTTTTTTCCACAGGGTTTTTTCTAGTAAGGTTTTAACGAGACACATTATCTATGGACATCCAAGGGGGAGTGTTATAAATTCATTGAATGAGTGGATAGTCCATAAGGTTGATACATGAACAACCATCCATATTCACTAGATTCATGAACCGTTTTGGATAAGAATGTATCTATTTATTATGATACTTAATATGGTGACTTTTGGAGTGATTTCTCACTCTATAAATAGGATTGTTCATTCACTATTGTATGAGATACAGATAAGACTTACATATACTTGAATAAGAAGAAAATTCCTCTTCTTCTATCTACTTCTCTTGTCTTCTTCTCTTTATGATTATATTCTTATAGCTTGATTTTATAACACATTTGAATATTTTACTATTAGTCCTCATTTTCTCATGCAACAATTTAATTAATTCAATATAGTTGATTGAAATAAGCATACTAACTATTGTTCTGACACATTTTTTATATTTAAATTCGATCATTTCGGTAATTATTTCACCGTCTCAATATAACACAATCGTCATGTTTTCTTTAAAATGAGCCATCAAAAATCCTACACACAAAGATATGCACTATAATTCTTAAAATTATATTTTTACGATTACATTTCAACTTATTGATAAGCCATATCTATTAAAATTTTGTGAGTGTTGTTTCAATAATGGGGAACATAAGTGGAAGCTTTGTAGAAAATTGTTGGGATGTGCTACACATTCTACACAAACCATTTCTTATAATAATCTGTGGTCAATTGTTAGAGAGAAGAGTTTAGCAGGTTATTGTTAGTCACGTTTTAAAATTAAAATGCAACTTATATTAACACTTTTATTGATAGACTAAATCAATAAGGCTACATTAATTTCACAGATTTGTGACATGATTCAGTAGAATCTTTACTCGTAACATTTTAGTCTTAAAACGTGACACACAATCATGAATATAACTTTTTCATGTAAAGATTCTTAGAAGACAACTCTATGATTTGATTCAACAAAATCGTTTTTACCTTTAAAACGTGCTTTCTAATAACAATATTTGGTACAAAGACTTGTTATTGATCGTAATGTTAGTGCATTTTTCGTATATTTTAATTCTAAAATAAATATAACCTAATACGTTATTTACAACAAATTTATGTTATTTCATATTAATTTGATGAAATGATCCAAACTAATAGATTCCTTTTTCACCATTACATGTCCTGTGATCATGTTATTTTGAGCAGTTGATAATCCTACCAGCATAATATTTGAATTCAAATTGTATACTTTATTATATCTACACATATAGATGGTGAATAATGCACCACGTCAAAAACCCCATCTCTTCTTCACCCAAACTCTATAGTCACTGCCTCCTTATCTCTCTAAGTATACAAGACCAACAATCTGCTAATAATACAAATTTCACTATCATCATCACATAGTAGAAAGAGAGAAAAAAATGGCTTCTCTATCGGTCTCTGTAAAACACACTCTTCCTTCTCTGCTCCAATATGCTCAAACCCCAAAAAAACCCATCTCCCAAAACCTTACCATTGTCTCCAGATCATCACAATCCCATTTTTATGGCCTTGAAGTCCTTCATTCACCTTCTTTTTCAACCCCATCTTCTTCAAGAACTTCAATTGTTGCTAAGGTAAATTGCATTGCATTTGTCTTGCATCTTCCGTTTTTCATGCGGATAAAATTTTGTTTTGATATTTGTAGGTGAATAAAGGTTCAGCGCCTCCACCATTCACATTGAAAGATCAAGATGGAAAAAATGTGAGTCTCTCCAAGTTTAAAGGAAAGCCTGTGGTGGTTTATTTCTACCCTGCTGATGAAACTCCTGGTTGCACCAAACAGGTATAGATAGACAATTTGATTTTCCAGTTCCCTGTTACCTGTGAAATTTCACTTTCATGGAGAAAACAGTTATGCTTTATTCATAGTGTACTGATGAATTTATTCTTGAAAATAATGAATTGTAGATTAAAATTAGGTACATGGTTAAGGATAATATGAAGCTTAAGGTACTTGAATTGCAAGAATGACCTGACCTATTTGTAGCTTGCCAATACATTAGGTCCGTGTTTCAGAATCAATTATTGCAACCTTTGAAATGACATTGTTATGAGATGTTGATTTGAAGTAGAAACCAAACATGGATATAGACGAACGATTTGAACAATGGAGTTGTGTTTCTAAACACCTTTATAGGCTAGCGTAGAAAACGAGTTTCCTTTTAATGGTTCTGGTGGCACATCCTCTTAAAAGTTATAAGATAGACTTACTGTTTGAACCATCATACGGAAATCACTGGAGAATTGCTTCATCCTTCTTAATTTATATAGTTTTATTAAATTTCTATTATCCTGACCAACTGTTTTGTTCGTTTCTAGTTTATAGTGGTTGAAAATTGAAGTTGTGGAGTTACAGCAAGTCAGCAACAACTTCATGAATAGTTGATAGATTACATTGAACTATTATTTTCAATTTCACAACTTTGTAGCAATGATCTTCAGAAGTTACCTGGAGCTAACCAATATGTAAAAACTGTCTGCAGGCATGTGCCTTCAGGGACTCTTATGAAAAATTCAAGAAAGCAGGGGCTCAAGTTGTTGGAATTAGTGGTGATGATATTGAATCCCACAAGGTATTACAGATTGACTTGCTCAATGCATTAAACAGCTAAATATTCTGTTGTCTGGAACTTTATTTCTATTGCAGGTTAACTGGAGAATGCTAGTTCTCCTAAACCAAATTACATTATTCTTGCTCTTCCTTCGTGTCCTTATGTAGGACGAATTGACTATTTGAAATACCTATTCTGTTCCACAGAGTATTATAAATACGAATAACTAGAAGTAATTTTATAGTTTCTTTCAAAGACAATCTCAGGTAGAGGTAAGGTTTGTATACTATCTACTCTCCCAGACTCCACTTGAGGGACTATACTAGGTATGCTATAGTTGTAGAGAACTAGTAAACAATCTGGGGCTTTAGTGTCACAGAGCTGAAATACAATGTTATTAGGAAGCTCTGGCAATAACGTATGCATTGCCTGATAAAATAGGAAAAAACAAAGGAAAAGTAGTAGTCTGACTGTCCCTTTAAAGTTATGAGGATCCTTTGGGTGATTAAACATGGTAAAAATCTTTCAAGGAGCATTTGTTGAGATTTCTGAAAATGTACACTCACTACTAAATGTCTGAATTTGACATTACCAGTTTCAAAAAAAACTAAATGTCTGAATTTGTGATTGTGTTTTGTTTCTTCTCATGTCAAGGATATACTCCTAGTTATCCTGTATTCTGAACTTCTTTATTAGATATTGCCTCACCTTTCACTATTGTTCTCTAGATTTAGGATGCGTAGTGTTGTTGACCTCTTGTAAGGATATCTGACATGTTTTATTCTGCAGGCCTTTGCAAAGAAGTACAGGCTCCCATTTACCTTGTTGTGTGATGAAGGCAACAAAGTTAGGAAAGAGTGGGGAATCCCGGGAGACCTTTTTGGTACATTGCCTGGTAGACAGACTTATGTGCTTGACAAGAATGGAGTGGTTCAACTCATATATAATAATCAGTTCCAACCTGAAAAGCATATTGATGAGACATTGAAGTTACTTCAAAGTCTTTAAACGTCAAGGTTTCCCCTTCTACATTCTTTTCCTGCCTCTAGCCAATAAAGTTCTTGTACTTTTTCTGCCACTAATGTGTGCCAATTGTATGTTATCTGATAGGCTGTACAACGACTTATATTTCATAGATGCCAAAGGAGCTGTTAGTTTAAAGTCATTCTACAATTTATGTTGTAGAATGTTGAACTCGGTCTCCCGCGAGAGATAAATTTGTATATGGGCCTTTGCTATGGTTGTAGTAACTGCATAATGGAGAATTTTCTTCAATTGGCACTTCTTACAGTTGTTGAAACCCCAACAGTGGTGGATCATATAGTAAATTGTAAATGAGAATGGAGTCACTTGTGATGATCTTGAAATATTAATCTTTATTCATTACTTTTACTGATAAAAATAGAAGTTCTAAGTCATAAGCTGAGGTATTTAACATTTGTGGATACCTTGCTTGACCTTTCATACATGTATGTTTATTCCTTAAAATGAGTAGATAAATATACTGTATAAGCACTAGGTATAGAAGAAATAATAAGTTAATTAAGTAGGAAAGTTTCAAATGTTATTGAGTGAAGCTACTTCTCCTCTGCATAATCTTGGCTGTTGTAGGGGCTAAAGGCTTCAGCCAACCAGTTCGTCTTCCTCCAAACTTGCCATCCCATCTCTTGGCAGATTTCATCGCTATGGTTAATACTGAAAGTGGAAATGCAATTTCTCTTGTAGAATCTTGTCGTCCTCTTCATAATCTCCATCTCTTGTGTTATCTGTTCAAGCATTTTCTCAACAGATGGAAGCTTAAACAGATCATCAACAAGTCGTGATAGCCATATGCAACGTATCTCAGCTGAATGCAGGTTTGAAACACTTTCAAGGTAACCCACGAAAGCCATATTTGGTATCAACGGGTGGATTGTACCCCTGTACAAGGGTATCATGCCTGAGGGGAACTCTACCAGACTGCGAAAGGGATCAGGTAATATAGCTTTAATCTTTTTCTTCCCATCAAAACCAGTTGCAAGTATGACAACATCAGCTTCCAACTTGGTGTTGTCCTCGAATTCAACGCCTCCTTCCCAGAACCACCACTTGGATGTTCTTTTGAACATGATTTTTCCCTTATCCGCCTCAGTGAAGAAATTCTCAGGCAAGATAGCCATCTGACATGATGCATAATCTTCCTCAAAAGGGTGTTCTGGTTTCAGTCCATACTTCTCTAGTGGAAGTTTCCATTCCAAATACGACTCGATTAACTTAGAAGCTGCTTTTCTCTGTCACCATATGTATAAGCGCGCTTTTGTTAGTCCTACGCCAAATGATGCACTAGATTGAAAAAGAAAAAAAAGAATGGAGCTCACCATGGGAGAAAGCATGTGGCAAAGAAGGGTCCTAAACAATCCTTGATTGGGTCTTTCATGGAGAAACTGAGAAGATCTAGTTGAATAGAACAAGTAGAATGGTAAACCCCAAATAGAGTAATGTGGAACTGTCCAATGCAAAGTCCTTACAACCATTGTACAGGGTTGCCCTTCAGGTCCTACAAACAAATTAATGTGTAGCGTTTGTTTGGCTCAAATTATAGAATTTGTATTGAAAATTTATTAAATTATGATTCAAAATTTATAACTCGGACGGTTTTCAATTCTATGTGAAAAAAACTTCTATCTGTGATGTTATCTTGAGGTCAAAGCATGAGACTTGAGATAACAAAAAGGTGTTTTTGACATTTAGATAAAAATCAAGTTTCTTTTTTTCCTTATTTTGGTGACATTTTCATTGAAAAAAAAAACAAATATAATTGTGAAGTTGACCATCATGATGTATGTTTGTAGTTTGGTAAATCAATATATGCACTTTCAATTTTCTAAAAGAATAGTACTACTGATGTGAACAATCACAATTTATTTTCCTTTTATGGATTTAGACAAATCAACTTCTGCCTGTTTTTGGAAATTTATTTTTTGTTGTAACAATTATTATTAGGAACCACACAAACAAACAAACAATCAATAGATGGGAAGCCCCTTCGTATCCAAATTGGCTTAAATATATACAGTTGAAAAATAGTCTATTATGATGAATTCGCTACTAGTTAAAAATAAATAAACATAAATTACCAAGTCTATTTTAAAGATAATACATTCCAATTGCCTTCCTGACGTGTGACAATCCCATTTTAGACTATCATAAATTGTTATAACATAGTATACTTTAAGATATTTAAAATTCAATACACTAGGTTAATTAATTAATTAAGAAGGATCGTATACTTTGACTTATAAGGAATTACTAGTAATTAATTAATTACCTTGATTAGCTTCAGCACATTCCACTGCAAGATCAATAGCTGATTTTTTATAGCCAACAACAACAACTTTCTTCCCTTTCATAAGTTTAGTAGATGCTTCTTGGTCAAGTTTAGAGTAATCAAGGGTATGAAGAACTTGACCATTAAACTCTTTTGGCCCTTTTTTTGGTGGAAAATTTGGTATATTTGGGATATCTCCATATTTACCAGTGCACATCACCACAAAATCAAATGCATACCACTGATTAAAAAAAAAAAAAACCTAAGAATATCGAAATTTGAATTGTTTCACATAAAACTATATTGAGAAAAAAAAGAGAACCTGTAGAGTTTGAGATTGATTGTTACGAACAGCAACTTCCCAAACAGGATTGCCAGTCAATAAACTTCCATATTCACCAAAATAATTCATTTCTCGATCACCTACAAACTTAATTTCCACAACCTTAGAGTTGAAGTTGAAGAATTTCAAGACATCAAAATGTTTAGCATAAGAATACAAGTAGTCTAATATTTCCTCATAAGTAGGGAAATTTGTGTTATCCCTTTGAGTCCATGGAAAATCAGAAAACTCATAATCACATCGAGGGGTTTGCAATTTTGTGGACCTATAAGAACAGTGTTTCCACACCCCTCCTACACACTCCGTTGCCTCAAACACCATTGGATCGTACTTGGCTAGTTGTTTAGCGGCTGCTATGCCACTTATTCCACCACCAATTATTCCGATTTTCGAGCGGATAATAGCCATATCTATCTCAAGTAAATCAAAGTAGAAATTTGAAGTGTGTTTGTATAAGTAAATATTTCTCAAAGATGGGATGGTTTAGAAGTGGTGATATAAGGTGGTATTTATAGGAGTTTGCATGAGATGTGAAATGAATGGCACGTGATTAGACTAATTCTAACGAGGAATCCTAAACATGTTAGCTATAACTTAAGTTGCACGTACTTTTCACTTTTGATACAGTATTAGTATCAAATTTTTCAAAATTACATTATTTTAAAACAATCTGACATAATATTTTTGAAAAGTCTGAGCGACATAAGCTACTAGTAAAGATAAATTAATTTATATACCGTTAGTAGTGTACAAAATATTTATACTGTCAAATTATTCAAGTAATGTGAAATTTGTAAATTTAAGTATAAAAATTTGTAATACGAGAGATTGTTATAACTTAAAACTTATTAATTTATACTAAATGAATAATTAGAGATTAATAAATACTCCAACATATAATATAGTTTAAGATTTGGTTGACCTTTGCCTCCTTGGCTAAATTTTATTGTATTATTGTACTAGTATCGTTGTTATGGGAAGTTTGTTGGTTATGAAAAGGAAATTTCATGTTGGTCAAATACATATTCAATTTGCTTAATTAATTCTAAAACCATGTGTATCTGTTAAACTTCATTGCATCTTTCGACCTTTTATTTAGCATCTGACTTTTGGAGAATTCCACAGCTGGTTGGGAGATCAAATTTGCTGCCTAATTCAGTACATTTTGTCATATTTATTGAAATATGTCTATACTATTCGAACAATTATACTCCCTCATTCTATACGAGTTATCTAGGTTATTAAAAATATTCGTCATCATATTTTATAAAATCAAGAGTAATTAATTTTGTCCAACTTCTCCCTTAATATTGACACTTTATTTGAATGGTTGTTATGTATTATCTCATACTACCGATCAAAACAGGAATTACTCCCCTGCACATTTTTATCTATCCACAATATCACCTTTTTTTTTAAAATTGGAATTAATAAAAGTGAATGGAGTGAGTATAAATTTGAAAAACTCACACTAGCGATTAGAAATAATTTTAACACTACCCCACCATCGATCAATGTTTTATAAATCAATTTCATCCCTCAACTTTGAATAAGAGACATTCTGTCTCGACCTTCGATCCCTCTCGAAATGTTTGTATTACTTATAGTATTTTCGCTCGCCATCAATGTGATACCTTTTATTATAGATTTTTATTTAAATTTGTTATCATTATAACTAGAATAATCTATTGTTATGAATTTGTTACAAAATCTAATGCAACTATTTTATGATTTTTATTTTAGTATTACATTTATTGAGTATATGTATAGTAATATATACGTATCTCGGTATTGACTTGACAGTATTATAAAGAGCATAATTTTTTTGGAAGTATAAATAATTAAAGATGAAACGTGTATACTAGTATTATACATGAGTAAAACAGAAAGTCACACAACTCCTTTTTATATCATATGAAATACAATACTTTTATCTTTTCTTATTTTATATGATAGAGTTTTGCTAGGAAACTTTTTCGAGTGTTTATTTTGACTATATATTAAACAATAGTATAGGGTACATTTGAAAATTTCGTTCAAGAGAGAAAGTCATTTTTTAATATATTTGCCAAGTGAAATTTTGTTAGATCAAAATGATGTTAGTTGAATGTGATTGTTGTACCATTGGTGAAGAAGGATGGCTCCTCCTTTCATTTGAAGTTTTGGATTTAATTTTTGTGTTTTGTATATGAAATTTTATTGGATAAGGAACATTTTGTTCTTAAGTGAACCTTGTCCATAGTAAATTTACCAAAATGATTTTTAGAGATACTTAAAGTAAAATATTAAAATTTATGACGATATTAGATTTAATGACAATTAAGTAATAATATCAATAAAAATTTTAATATTCTTTTTTAATATGTATATTTGTTATGGTTAAAAAAATATTTTTATTATTGTATAATATCGAAGACCAAGTGAAAATAAAATAAATAAATATTATTTGTTGCGTCTGAGTTTTTTTATTTGATGATTTATTTTTTCACAAAGCTTAATGAAGACGGAAAAATAAGTATAGTGCCAAATCCGTATGCCTTAACCCCTAAATTAGCATTCAAATTATTATTTATTTGTTCTAACTAATAATATCTTACAAACTGGGACAAAGAAAATTCTTTAAAGAAAAGTAAAATTATCAAGAATAATTTCGAAGTCGAAGGAGTGTGAGCTGGCCAATCACAACAAGCCGTGTGTTTGTGTGTGCTTTGTGCTGCTTATTCTTAATTTTGGCCCCCTCTTAGCTTAAGCATCAGATAATATTTTTATTTATTTGGGAAAATGCACAAGTACCCCCTCAACCTATGTCCGAAATCTCAGAGATATACTTGTACTATATTAAGGTTCTATTACCCCCTGAACTTATTTTATAAGTAATTTTCTACCCCTTTTTAACCTACGTGGCACTAGTTTGAAAAAAAAAAGTCAACCATCGTTGGACCCACAAGATAGTGCCACGTAGGCTAAAAAGGGGTAAAAAATTATTAATAGAATAAGTTCAAGGGGTAATAGGACCTTAGTATAGTATAAGTGTGTCTCTGAGATTTCGGGCATAGGTTGAGGGGTAGTTGGGCATTATCCCTATTTATTTAAAAGACATGGACTAATATTTTGACAGAAAAGTAGTAGAATGTTCTTAATAATCATAATTTTGTATTATCTAGGGTGTTTTCATATTTAGTACCCCGTTAGTTTTAATGTTTATTGACCAAAATATTTGGAAAATAAATTTAAAAAAATGACTTTTACAAGTAAAAATAAAAAAATAATATTTTTCATAAGTGATATTTTTGAATAATTGTGATCTTTTCACCTTTTTGATATCGTTTAGGGATGTATAAGTCAAATTGAACAGATGAATCAAATCAAATCGGAAAAAAAAAATTAATTGTGATTTGGTTTGATTGATTTGGCGGTTGAAAAAAAAATTGACCATTCTTGATTTGATTTGATTTGGTATTAAAAAAAAAGGTCAAACCGAATGCAAATCAAATGGACATATATATATTTATTTTATTTTATTTATAAAAAAATTATTATTTATAGTCTATTTTGTTTATACGTTTCGAGTTTGCTTATAGTTTAAATTTTTTTTATAATTTATTTTATATTTGGGCTTGTAAAATTTTGTAAATATTACATGTATTATTTTATTTATTTATAACTAAAAAATATTATTTATAATCTACTTTTTAATATATTTTTAGTTCATTTATAGTTTTCAATGTTTATATATTTTATTTCAAATTTGGGCTTATAAAAATTGTAATATTTTATTTCGTATTAAGATCCGAAGTTACAATTATTATTGTTGTAGGTTTTCAAATTGGAAGTTAACAATTTATTTTGTAAATATTTTTTGTACTCAGTTTGTTTCTAGCCTTTAATCTTATTAATTTAACATAATAAACATTGATATTTAAAAAATAATATTTTGTACTCGTGTGATTCCACCGTCTTTTCAAATATTTATGCTCACTTAATATTTTTTAAGTTACATTTATCACACAAGTAAGAGAAAAAAAAATTGATTTTTTTTTCAAAAATCGTATAGTTGTAAAAAGTCAAAAAAAATTAAAAGAACCAACTAACGTCGATTTTTTTAAAAAAAATTATTTTATGTGATTTAATTTAATTTTTAGATAAACCGATATAATTGATTTAGATATTTTTTTTAAAGAAAATCACACCGACTTATGTACCCCCTACCTATCACCATAACCCCCCGTGCCTTATTTGTCTCTCACTCGGTCCATCCCTCCTCAGTCATTATAATATTTGCTTAAATTATATATGACTAATATTTATTTATCAAATATTAAAAAAAAATAAAAAAAATAAAATTTAAAAAATAAAATTATCTACTTTTTGAAAAATAATATTGAAAAAAAATTATTTGTGGAAAACATTTATATCCCTACCAAACACAATAATATACAGTCTGCTAGTTTTATTTCGTGAGGGTGGTGGCTGGCGATAATTGTTGTAATATTGTAGTAAAAACAAAAAAGTGGTCTTCACAGGAGTCATTGAGAAAAAACAAACAAATGAATAGATTACGAGGAGCGGCTCAACTATATTAGTGACTTAAAATAAAAATTAAGCGGGGTTTTAAATTTGAATTGTTAATATTTTTTATATAATTAAATTTTTCTAATTTTCATTTGATAATATTACTATTTTTATTTTAAATTATTTTTCATGAGATATAGTACTCCAAATATATCATATTTCTTCTAATAATTCTTTCATTTTCATGAAAAGTTTACTTTTTTCTACAAATAGTATTTAATATTTGTTAAAAAATAATAACTTATAACCTATTATTATTGAAAATAGGGCCCCTTAAATTTGAAGGTCTAAAACACATATCTTTTTTTTAACACTGTCGAGTTAACCAGCAGATCACCTAAATATGTTCAAAACAAAAAATTGATTTTGATTTTTTTTTTGAAAAGGAATGTAGTATTTAATTTACTTAGGTTTGGATTAGTATTTACATTACGAGATCTAACAGGTGGTTTGGTCGAAAAGTAGGGATAACTTATTCTAAAATCAATAATTAACGGGGCGAAATATTAATCTCACGGTAACTTATTTTGAGAAAAATTTTGTAAACAAAAAAAAAATCCTTAAATTCTCTTTTATACACCATTTTTACATTCAAGTATATTAAAATAATTTTTAACAACATTCACTACTTTAATTATTTGTTATTTTTATGATAATATATTTTTTTATCAAAAAAAAATTATATTTTATAAATGCAATTTTTATTGAATAAATTATAAATTAAATTTTATTTGTCTAATTCTTATGTTTATTTATATTTTGAATTCCCTTAAAATGTTACTCCGCCACTAGATTACATATTTTTAATTAAATAATTTATCACTCACTTAAAAATTATATTTTATGTATTAATTAAAATGTAGACAATTTTGATGATAATCTTTAATAAAAAAATGAGTTTTATATTAAAGTTAAATAAGATGAAAGTTTTATTTTTAAAACAACATCAAGGCTTTAAATGCCAATAAAACTTGGGATATTGTTGAGTTTATGAAAGTTAAAAAATAATATAATGGATATATGTTTGAATATGACAAATCAAACAAATAGTAGAAACTAATACCAGTATAATTAATCTCAGTATAAATTATTCCATCGTAACTAATCCCTACCTTAGTATTCAAACCAAACAACCTTCAAATAGTCAAAAAAACAAACATGGTCTAATTTAATATAGGAAACTTGTCCTTAGAGATTTATCGTGTAATCGGACTTAGGTCTCATTTATTTGCACTTAATGGGGGTCTGAATCTTAATTAATCAAATTCGCCTTTTTCAGTGTGCTTGTTTTTTAGGACTGAATATTAATTATACAAATTCAGTTCATTAAGTTTGTTTGTTTTATTTTCTTATGAGCCCCTTAATGAATCTATAACATACTCTTAACAACATTCAAACTCAAAGATAAGACTCCTATCTTAATTCAACTACATCACAACAACTCATAATTTTTTTCTTATTTAATTAATGTTAATTACATGCTTACCTTTATAATTTCCGTTGTTCTTGCTAACTTAATATACGTATTTTACTTTCATAAATTAGTCGATATATTTGAATTGATAAACACATGATATAATATTTAGCACGGCTTTAGAAAATAAGAAAGTACTTAATTATTTGATTGATAATAATAACAGATGTTCATTATTAAATAAACGTTTTCATAAACATTATATTAGTACTCTATATAAAATATTTTACATTGCATTATATTATATTCTCAAAGTTTTTGAGTGCAACGAATAGTCATATTAATGATGTAACTTAATGTTTAAATTCTTAATAGATAAATCATATTACCTTATTACGATAAGAAGGTTCAAAATATTATTTTGTACAAAAAAACTATTTTACCAAAATGAGATTTTTATAATATTTTATTGATACGTCATTTAATTTAATATGTACATTTAGATATTGAAAACAAACGATTCAAATATTGAAAACAAACAATCTCAATAATCCAGTATTCAGATTCAGAGACAACATCTTAATATTTAGATGTTTATTTAGATTTACACATCTAGATCTTAATGCATATCTTAATATTCAT